GTATGTTTTTATATATTTATTCGATTATAAAGGTTCGATTTATTTATTAGGTTTATTGAAATTGACAATAAATGTAATTATTATTCGATATTTTATTGGTATGAATTGACTGGTTTTGGTATAAATTACAATCCCTCGAAATTAACATCAAAGAACTCTGTGTTTTAGCAGATGCCGAAAAAGGTTACCACGTAAAGACACTAACTGTATTTCCGTTACGCAGCTTGCTAAAGTTTTGATTAAAAGCTTTTCGGTAACTAATCCAAGCAAGCGGTGACGGATAATAGAACGCCCGAAATGAACTAGAATTTTTTGTATTGCTTGCACTAATCAATAGATTTTATAATTCGTGTAAGGGGGTCGGTGTCAAAATGTAGCGAGTTTGCCTGATAATTTTCGCTGAATACACCAGGCCAGGTGATGAGCCTGCGCAAATGAAAATCGTAAATTTTCTCGGCAGTAACACCGCTGTGTCACTCTACTGGTTTTTGATTACATAATTTGGTAAATATCGGATATTAATTTCTGTAGGACGATTATCAGATTTTGCCCCGTCTAAAATCCAACCATTAGGTCAAATCATTTTCGTACGGTCAGGTCCCGAGTAGTAATTTTGAAGTATTTTGGTAATCCCAAGAACAAAGACATTTTAAAGTATTCTGGTAATCCCAAGAACAAAGACATTTTAAAGTATTCTGGTAATCCTCATCCCAAGAACAAAGAAATTTTAAAGTATTCTGGTCATCCCAAGAACAAAGAAAGTTTGCTATAATTCTACTGTACGCATAAGAAAATCGTTGCATGCCCCCAGATGCTCTACCACGCCCACTAAATTAATGCTTGCAGATAGGAATGACTGAACGTACTTCCCTGCTACGCCACAAACTTACTATCTTCTCCTTGAATTGTCTGCTGATATGTTGTCTTCCTTCATACACCATTGGGTTCAAAAACATGAGTTTGTTTACACTAATGGTAAGGCATTAGTTTTTAAATAGAGTTTTATCGAAAAGTTGTATTATATTAAAACTTTAATTTATTCACGTATCATAATTTTATTCTACATTGTCAATTGAATACACTTGCAGACATGTACATGTAGGGGTTATATTCACGCGCGTATACGTTTATTGTCGTGTAACCGGTAATGTTTCTAGAATTCACAGATTAGCAGGGGTTTTTTTTTCGTTCAGATAAAGGGGCCGGTTAATCCGATAGAAAACTCTTGCAGATTGTGAAAATCGTGAAAATCGTGAAAATCGTGAAAATCCCCAATTTCATTAATATTAAGCAGGTTGCATATCATGAAACTTTGATCTTTGAATCAGATTCTGAAATGACTATAATAGAATTCTAGTTGACATAACGAGTAACACTTTTTTGTGCTGTAACAGGTATCTATTTATATTCCAACTCAAATAAGGAAATTAAAGTAACGGTTACGGTAAGGGGGTAGCAGCCGTTTTTCTAAAAAGAGTAATTGGTCTTGACTTTGAAAACTTGTGCATGCATGCTGTATCCAAACATATTGTTCTCTCTGCTCAATATATAGCTCAAGAGTTTAGAATAGAATAAGATATCACAGTACGCGAAGGGTATATAAAACTTGCACCAGGATGATGAAATGCTCTCTCCCTTCCCTTGATGTCCCTGCTAGGCAATGTTTATCCCAAACCTGATATTTTGGAACGTTACATTAAAACACCCTTTGGTGATTCTGCGGATGTTATCGCCACATTGCCGCGCTACACAACTAATTAAAAATTGCTTCTGAAAGGGTTACCGATCACAGTAGAATGGCGATCGTACCAAAAGAACGAAAACAAAATCGAAACCGAAACCGAAACCGAATGAAAGAGTAAAATAAAAGAATGAAAGAAAAATCATGGTCATTGTTGCGATTGATAAAAATTGAAACTTTTTACATAAAGAGTTTGATAACCTTTTATAGCCCACAATATACGTTGGACTTGCTATCTTTACTCTGTGTTACGTTCAATATATTCTACATGTACCATTTGCTTGTATTTGTCACACTCTCCGTGTACTGACCCGCAATTGTATGCACATATTTAGATAAAGCTGAATGAAATCAGTAAGCAATCATACAACAATGCAGTGTAAACAAGTTAAAAATTTGAGATAAATACACTGCGTTTTGACACAGCTTCACGCCCAACTTCAAATTTCCGTATTATCAGTCGAAAAAAAAAAATAAATCAAAATGCATTCATCGAAATTATATTTCACTCTTGCTTTTCTCTTTGTCTCTGCAATGTTCTCGAACGCAGCCTACAATATAACAACACCAGGAACGGGCGTTGTTTGGAATGCAACTGAAGCCGTCCAAGTATTATGGACTGGCACTGATGAACCGGAAGTCGACGTAAACTTGCTCTACGGTCCAGCAGATAATTTAACGCTGTTTGCTGTCCTCTGCTCCAATGTGTCCTCAAGCCTTGGGGAATGCAATTATACCGTGGATCCAAGTATTCCGAGTGGAATTAACTACGCGGTTTCTGTTGGAAAACTTCCCGAGGCATATTCGTATTCGAGCTACTGTATGTATTGATTTGTAATATGCGGCGAGAAAAAGTATAGCAAAAAAAAAGATTGGATGTTTAGCTTTTATAGAAATAGTCTGAAGGAGACTAACCCATTTAAAGTTAATAATTATAGTCCGCATCGTGTTGTAGTTATTATAGTAGATCGGGATGTTTAGTGATTATCTTAAAGTATTAACACAATTTTTTTTTCTTTCTCTTTTAGTCACCATCCAAACAGCAAACCCACTTCCAGCAAACACTGGATGTCTCAACAATGTAAGAACAAGCTCGATTTTATTAGAAATTGCTTTTACTATTCTAGCGTAATTACATCTTTGCTTACGTACGTTCTTTTTTTTTCAGGGTGGCTACAACTGTACCCAAACTCTCCCGTGTTGCAGTGCATCTGGATACTGTGGTGCTACTGACGCTTATTGTGGTACAGGGTGCGCGCCTCAATTCAGCTTTAATGGCGTTTGTAGTGTACCGCCTCCTCCCGCTCCTCCCTCTTCCAAGTTTTAAAAGTGGCTGCTATGTAAAAAATGGTTCCGAAGGTTAATCAAGCGAGGCGAAGAGGCAATGTGTAACTAATATTATATATAATATTTTAATTATATACTGTTCATTAATAAAGAATATATATTATCAATATTAATGTATCCAAACATTATGGGGTTGGTTATTGTTTCATGAAACGATCAATTTAAATAAATCGACATGCTTTGTAACAGTTGGAAAATAATAGAACAAACACAAACACAGTAACATTCAGGAAAAAAGGACACAGTCAAAATAACCCAACTTTTGGACGACTCGTTATTTAAATGTTTATTAATATAACGTGTCATAATAACAGAAAAAAATTCCCCTCACCATTTTACAATATAAAATTTTGCTTTAAAAAAATTTTTATAAATGGTAACATCCAGTATTTTCTCCAATTGCAGCAATTACAAACTGTATTTAGTTTGGCGTAATAATACCAAGTATGGTATATTTTTTTGTAAATTTCTTCTTTTACTGATCACGTTTTTCGAAAAACCGTTGCAATTGGTGTAGAATAACATCTTATCATTGTTATGTTTTTGCATCTAGCTAGTTGTTTTTTACCGTATCATGAGGAGCAGCGTAATTTACTTACGCGCAAAACCGGAAATTTATGTTACTGTTAAGTTGTTATTATTAGGACAACTAATATTGTAATTAGACCAAGAAATTAACAAGTAACTAATATATAATATTATATAGCCAGTGCATGTATAATTTACGAGATTTGCACTAAAGTTATGCATAAACTTCCGGCTTATGTAAAGCTATGTATGTAGGTTTTGTATAAAGGCCAGATGTATAACATTGTGTCGCAGACATTACTTCCCATGTCATATCTATATTTTAATACATCTATAATTAAAGTCTATAAACTGGGACATCGATAACAGGTTCGAGACGTTAAATTCATAGGGTTTTAAAAAGAATGGCAAAGGTAATGAAGTGATAACTGCTGTTAAAATTTTAGCCCGACTAACCATTAGAAAGTTTATCTACAAGTTTATGAATTTTTCTACGCAGTAAATCAACAATATTAATATCATATATTGTACGTGATTGACCAACAGCTTACATTAATATAAAAACGGGACCGACAATCCCGAAGTTATCCTGTCGGTAAAATGAACCAGTCCCATAAAAACAATCAATATTAATACAATAACGCAACTTTTTATATCCTCCAATCAAGTCATTGAGATGAGCAGTGGTTCAAAAAAAGAGAAGCGGCTACAAATTATTGTCTAGTTCGATTTGTCATCATCGGACAGAAGTGTTACTTTCTCACCTAACGGGTTGATTGCTAATATTTATGCAAGGAATTCATACTAAATCCTACAAATATGCTTATTTTGAAACAGCTGCAACAGTCATAAACGGATGTTAACTTTACCGCATTGCAACTGTGCTACTCGTATATGGATACAAAACTAGGTGAAACGAATGAATCAGAGGCTTGATGTCTATCTATGGAAAGAAATAAGAATCATCTGAAAGATATTGCCTTACGCACAAATTGTTGACGCAATTTAGGAAAAGAAATTAATATGCCGATAATTCAATGAATGCTTTTCTTTTCAAGTAACCTTTTTTTTATGGTAAATCATTATTAGTAATAACCAATGAGTTTACGGTTAACTGCATACGGCTTGCATATGCTTTTAGTAAGGAGAGTTCATTTTGTTAGCTTCTTTTTTACTCGGCAAAATGTTAATACCTAGAAATAGGATAAGAAGAGGGTCATTGGCGTTGGTATCGTGGCGTTCAGCAACTAATTTAATTAGGCGCGAATGCGGCACACAATTGAATGGTGTAAATAAACGTATTGTAGAACGCAGTTTGGCGCCTAGATCAATTGCTAGTACCGGAAACGATAACAGACTGTGGGTTATAGTTACCGGTACTTTTTTTTTTCCAGCCAAATGAAATTCGTACGACATTACAAAAACGTTGTTTTCGACCAACATTTAGTACTTTATCGTTAATGTGTTTTCTAGCCATGAGTAAATGCATTGCGAGTTCTACAGAGGCAGACGACAATGGACTACCGTATGTCAGTTAATATACCACCAAGATCATGCTTGCTGCTGGGACATCAAGGCTGTAATCGCTGTAAACAATGTATACATATCCGAGTTTGTTGCTCGATTGGCTATCACATGCACCCTAATGCAAAATATGATTTTGTGGCGGCAGTTTTTCCCCCCTTTCATTTGTACTAACCTACATACATATTAATATGTGACTTGCGCTAAATTAAGGGGAAAGGCAACACATTCCGAATTCCATTTTCCTTTACGTCAGGATATAGAAATTTCTGTAACCGACGCATTCATCGCGTGCATGCTCCTCATGTGAAACTTTTCAACTTGCTTTTAATGTCGATCAAAGCAAAGCAACGTTTGCGGCCGATCTTGATACTGATCTGAATCAAGTCATTCAGGGAGACAACTTGTAATGTCATAGTCGGAATGACAGTTTTTTTTTCTTTCAAATCTCCCTTCTTTCCCAGTTTCTCTCGTTTGTGCAATCAAGTGTTTCAATCTACACACACAACGTGTTAAGGATTCTAATATATTCAATAATACAATTTATTTATGTTACAATGAAACCCGTTCAAAACGAATAAATATGAATATACCCTAACCCAGTGCATACCCCCAGCATACATTTTATGTTCCAAATTGGGATGTGCAATTCGTTACATTACGGACGAAAAAGAATACTACAGATGAAAATCTAAAACAGGACTGTATATGTAAAAAGAGATAGATTACAAGAAAGGGGAAGGAGAGGTCGAGATTATAATGAACAGAAAGAACTACATGGAAAAAGGTGATAAGAGATAATGTAAATTATGCTTGTAAATTAATTATGTGATAATAAATTATAATTTTTGCCAATCCAGAGGGTGGTTTTTTTGTGTTTGTAGAAAACATGTATATCTCGCCAATTGTACAAGAGAGATCCCCGAAAAATAAAAGAAAATGTATAGTATAAACAAATTACAAAAATTATCGAACCCATATTAAAATAGTAAAAGCACCAATTGTGGTCCACAATACCCGAAGGTGTGTGTCACAGCAAATACCCATACTTTTTTCCCTCTGACGTTTGCCTCATGTCTCGGGGAAAGTCAAACTCCTCGAATTATATCTGATTTCTTCCGGTTGTGTCTCATTAACGTCAAGCTTGATCTGGTCCTCGGGTGGTATTATCCTCGTTCCAATCGGCGGTACGACTTGACCGTTGTAATACATTGTTGACGTCAGCGCATCTACAGTTATTTTTCCCGAAAAGATGTTATTGTTGTTGTTATTGTTGTCTATGCTTAATGGGTTCTCGTCCGAAACAACGTTGTCTGAAGAGGATCTAGTTGACGAGACATCATCAGCCGGAGAAGAGACAACTTCACCCGTCGACTCGCAATGGTTCAAAAGCTCTTCGCCTTTTTCCAGAGATCCCAATGTGGCACGTTGGAGTTGTTTCTTGAGTTTACGTCGTCGAACAAACTGACAGCCCAAGCATGAAGCTATTGTGAAAACTATCAGGACTAAAACGATTACCCCGACTAAAAATATAAAAGATTTGTCAGCAAGATTGTTTTTGGAAAAAAAAAAAAGAAACTCGGACGTTGTGCAATCGTCGTAGTACAAAGATGATTTGTGTACTAATAATAGTAAATCAGACTTACTTAGAGGAATCCAAAATTTCATGGCCTTGGCGGCCGGATTTGACGCAGTCTGATTGTCAAAATTGCCTGAATCGACGGTGGTGGTAGTGGTAGTAGTAGGATCCGAGCTCGTCTGGTTTGTAGAGAGATTCGCGCTGACTGTATTACTTGCAAGGGTCGCAGACGTAATCGTAGAAGATGTAACGGAAGATGATGATATTCCTTCTGTGTATGCGGGATTTTGTGTTTTTGAGGGTGATGGGTTTGCAGAGGGTGGACGTATGTTGTTAGCGCCGCCGTCGTTGGACGGTTTGTCAGGTGGAGGAGGAGGGGCTGCTGTGATAGACGGTGCGGAGGCTGCTGCAGGGTTCGGTTTGGGGTTGGGCGTGGGGGAGGGTGTGGTCGGTGTGGGAGAATTTGGAACATGTGTTTGAGACCAAACTATGCATAGGGCTTTTTGTAGTGCTCCATCTAAGAAATGAAACGATTTGCGCGATGTTAGGAAATGATTGATTGATGGGGGGGGGGGGGGGGGGGGCGGAGAAAGGGAACATTGACAATAGAATATAGACCAACCTT